TCTCTCTCTCTCTCTCTGTATCTCCTCTTCCTGTGTGGCTCAGTCATTGCTTGTCCCAGGCAAAAGTCCCAGTAAATATGGACGTCGAGGCAGTGCCATAGGGATAGGAACAGTAGAAGAGGTTCATGTCTAATTCTAACTACTCTCTAACTCTTCGCTTCTCCTCTTTGCTCCTTTTTATTGTCTGCATGGCTCCACTGTATCGTGCCCAAGCACTTTTCTCCTTACATTTCAGCACTCTGTATTAAACATAGTGTGCATTGTGTGTTACAGACAGAATATATTGTACAAATGGATCTGTCATTTTCGGATTTGTCAATTCCAATCTTTGGTATTTTACATACACTACCATCTAGAAAACATTAAAATAATTAATCATCACAAATCATTCACATATTAAGAGATAAGCAGCTATGAATGTGGCATGTAGACAGTAAAAGTTATATTTTAAAGAGTCACCCTCGGCTCTTTACTGACTCTTTTCTTCTGTTCTCACTGTCCTATCTGCTTTACTCCGCCTTCTGTAGTCTCTTATGACAATCCTGTATTTTAATTCCAGTATGCTTAATTCTCTATTTTTTTAAAAATGAATGATGAATATTAATGATTTAATGACCCCCCTTACAGAAAAATTATTTTTAAAAATCCTCCTCCTGCTCTTTGAAGCCACATTGAATAAAGGGCTTTTTCAAGTTCTTATTTTGAGAGCTTTAAAAGGGAGATTGAATGAACAAAGCAGTCGCTGAGAAAGCATATTTAGTGGTAGGCCCTGGAGCCTTTAAATCCATCTTTCATCTCCTGCCTTAGTGTGCTCTGCTCTGGCTGAAAGACTGGCACCGGGGGTTGACATTAAGCCGCTAAGTGCATATTTTAAGTTTTTTTTTATCACTGTAACAACTCAAAGGGAGCAATGTTACTGTTCTGCCTGATAATTCAGGGCGACGTGTTTTTTGAATGCAGTAAAATGGCATTTGAGAGGTTAGGTCAAAATAACCATTATCTCCCCTCAGTAGTAAATAAACTGATTGATAAGCTCTTTAGATTAACTTAATATTACTCAAAGATATTTAAGGTATTAGAAGGGTTTTGACTCTGACACTGACTGCCTGCCCTCTTTCCCTGGCAGTCTTTGATAATCCCGGGGAAAAGCCCGACTAGGAAAAAGTCTGGTCCTTTCAGCTCCAGGAGAAGCAGTGCCATTGGTATTGAAAACATTCAAGAAGTCCAGGAGAAGAGGTGACAAAAGACCTATTACTGCTGTATTTATCTTTGTTTCTACCCATACACCATTTTCTTATTTTCTCCTGTGCTATCTTGTGCATCTAACGCCTTGTAATCATAATTATTTACCACCTTTTACTTAGGTGATAATGCTGATGCATGCACATTTTATTGATTTTGTCTATGTTGCGCCTTGTTAGCTTTTCTTGATATGTTGTACCTCATGTCTAATGCAACAGTAGAGAGAACTTGCCAAATACCCAGAAGACCCCTGACAGTGGTCATGTGTCTCAAGATCCCAAATCTGACAACTCGTCCAATCAGAGCTCCCCTGAGGTGCTCACAACCACAAAGAACAGGTGTGTATAATGGATATATTGATCATACGTTTCTTTGTGTTACCGCTGGGCAATCCTCAGCTGTGACAGCATGTTGAATGGCTGTGTCCTATACATAAGATAAAATCAGGGTTGGCTGTGCTGGAGAGTGGTTAACCCAGGGTGTAGTTCTTATCTCGGTGGCAGGGCCCCATCCATTCCTGAGGGTCAAGACCTCTCCCGCTCCTCCTCCAATGCTAGCAGCTTCGCCAGTGTGGTGGAGGAGAATGAGACAGAGGCCACAGAGGACTATGACACCGGCATGGTGAGTGCTTTATTCAGTATGTGTTCTTGTAAGTTATCGGTTTGTCTAATATCTAATATACACTGTATACTCTCCAGGAGAGTCTGTCATCTGCTGGGACACCACACAAACGAGATTCCTTCACCTACAACACCTGGATGGAGGACAGCATCAGCAGCACTAGTACCACCAGTCGTGGTAACTCCCCAGGTGAGAGAGGTTGGATGTTTGGAGAAGCATGTCCAGCATATTAAGTTTATAAAAAAACCCAAAAAAAACGACTGATAATTTTTATGTAACCACCAAAGTGTGCTCTTTTTTTATTTATTGATTTAATTATTCACTTTATCATTTTCGGAAACACTTCATAATAAGGGTAGAAAACACGGATGCTTACTGATTTACTGATGGATAACTAATACATGCAGTGACTCATGATGATTAATGCATGAATTAATGCAGGATGTATCATTAATTCCTTTTGCTCTCCAGTCAACGATAATTAAGTCACTATGAGTTTATGTGATTACTTAACGCTTAATGGATTATCAATAAATGGATGTTATTTCACATGTCCATAGTCCTCCTTGAGGGGTCATCATGGAATGAAATGGAGATTATTCTGAAGATAGATGGACATTTTTCTCATGCACCATAGAAAAACATTGATAGAAAGAGTACTTTTAACAGTATTCCTGTTGTTCTACTAACATGATTTAATATCTTTCCTCACCAATGAGGAAATACACAGGCTATAGCATGTATGAATGGCTTCAATTTCTGTTTTTTAGAATGCACACACAGCGAGTTACAGACTAGTCTGAGCTTTAATAAGAGCCCATCAAAATTAAAACACATATCATCACTCTTAGTGGACACAAAATCTTTTACAAAAGACCAAAAAATCCACATTAAATAATATTACAACTATCTTTTCAGAATATTCTTTATCAAGTACAATCTTTCATCTTAAACCATAAATGGGTAAAAACATTGAATATCAATTTTTCAATATAAAGCAGAAAATTATGTATTCTCTCTACCTGATTTTTATATTCAAATCTATGATGTGATGGACATATATGACTGTGATCCATGAGGCTTAATATACTGTTACACTCAATCTTCAGGACCTGGTAAACCAGAGCGAGGGAAGGGGACAGATATCCGTATCAAACTGGAACGACCACATGATCATCAGTCTTCATCGGTGAGTCAACGTCATCCTGGACTACACTGACATCTTACTTCTCAATTATGAGCTACCTTTCAATCACCATTGTTGCTCTACATGATTTCCCTCTTTGGATTTTTTTAAACTGCTTTTCGTGTGTTGTTGCCGATGTTTGTTTTTTTATTGCTGTTCTCTGTGATGACCTCTCTGTGCAGAACTGTTAGCTCCATCCACCTGGTTGTATCCTGAATCTCCATCTTCAGGTTAGACTTTCCTCTGTATTCTTTCGTCATATCTCAGTCCACAGATTTCAACTATGGACCAGATATAGTGCATACACTAATTAAATTGTGCTTATGCTTGTGTATTGTATATGTACTTTATATTCAGGTGTTTTCTGTGTAACTGCTTGTCAAAGTAACAGAGCAATAAACAAAACAAAAGCATATAGATGCAAATAATTGTTTTAGTTATGAATGTGACTGATAATATACATATAGCTCCTTCTAAATTTTTTACATCTCTCTTATCCCCAAAGCATTCCCATAAGTCACAATCCCTCTGGGAGATGAGACAAGTGCAGGCGTTTGCCATGACCAATGATGAGAAGGAGGAAGAAGAGGAAGATGAGAAAGAAGAGAAAAAGCAGGTGGAGCCTGGCCAGTCTGCTGCTCAGTGAGGGCCAGAGTGCAGCTTATCCAGAAACCTGGAGGACACTGGAGAGGATGACGCACAAAGAGGGGCCAGCTTTTGCACAGTGTTGTTTCCTTCCACTATTTTCTTTGCCTGTGCACACATCTGTTGCCTAGTTGTATGTTTTTTGTTTTTTTTTACCACACCTATTGTTTCAAAAGTGCATATTTTTATCTACAGATGTATTTGTAAGAGATACAACTTTGGTTTAGTTTGTCTAGTTGAAGCCCAGGTATGCTGGCTATTCAGGGTAAAGACAGTGCCATTAAGCTCTTTGAAGAGATTGTGAGAAAGACTTTTTTCTGGAACAAAGAAAATATAACTGGAGGTTTTACCAAATCAAAGGTTTTGGCTCAATAAAGATCTCTAATGTATGAATAATACCAAATATTCATTAAAGATGGCTATTTTCTGACAAAACATCTAATGTGATATAGAAATGTTCTGTTGCATGTAGTTAAATGTGATTATTTTCTGGGTTAAATCCAAATAGACAGACTGTATAGCTGCAGCAAAAGAATTGGATACTTTCCTTTTATCACCCAAATCCCCACAAGACAAGATTACAAACCCAACACCACAGGTCACAGTGAAAAGAGCAATGCATTGTAGATAACAAAAAATGGCCTTAAAACTTAAACATGCAATTTCTTTGTCCCTGAGATTTATTTTACCTCATTTTTTGACTCACATGTTCTGCAGCCAATAATGGGATTGCAATATTAGATCAACTGTAAAACTAATATATTCAGAATCATTTCTAAGCATACTAGTTTCTTAAAAAATTGTTGTGCAATGCAGTTATACAACCAGCACTGTCTGTATAGTCTGATAATGTATGGATATACCCATCAATGACTGATTTAACTGCTTTGTCTGTATTGTCTGTTGTTGAGGAGACCAGTCTCTTGTTTTTTCCTCTCTAATGTATGTTTTTATTTATTGATTTGGTTCCTGTTAAAGTGGCATTTATGGTATACATCTGTTATACTGTATCTTTATGGTGACTACATTCAGCATCCTGTCATATGATTATACTGTGTATGCTTTGGGGTAAATTATAATGTTGTCATCTGTAAAGCTCTATTTCAAGAATCAGATCTCTTCAGTGCAGTAAACATGCAATGCAATTATAATAAAATAGTGAATATTTATTTGCTTTTAACGTGAGAAAATAACTCAATATACAACTACTGATTTTGTAAATAGATGTTTAGTTGGAGTACATAATGTATAATACTAGCCTTTGATTTAAAATGGGACACCTTGAAATTACTGCCAAGCCAACGATTTCTTGTTGTTTTATTTTCCATACCCTTAACAATATTAATTTGAGAGGGTTTTGTAGAAGAAAATTATTTTAAAAGCTATTCAGACTGTTCTGTAAAAGGGAAAAGTAGATCCTGCTGATCATTTCAGTTGCCTTATCATCACAAAATGAAGTATAGTATTGAAGAATTGATAGTAAAGCAAATAGTTAATAGCCAGCAGGATTTACAATGAAATGAATGTTTGGTTGTTGTTGTTGTTGTTTTTATTGTAAATAAATGCCCTGAGAACTTTACAGTCTGTTGCACACATACTCTCTTGCCCTGTTTCATGTCACTCAATGAAATCCAATTCTCTGACTTTCACTTGTTTTCAAAATTCTGTTGTTGTCCTTTTTGTAGACAAATACAGTATTATGAGTGCCACATAGTGAAAATCCCCTGCTGTGAAATGTCTACAAACTGTAGATGTTCCACTTCCCGTCTTCTTAATGAAAGCTAAGAGAGAAAACCCCATGAATAAATGATTTGATGTGGCTGCCCACAAGCATGTAAAACTAGAGCAATCTAAAAGTGGAGGCTTCCCTGGTTATATAACTGTGTCACATGGAAGAAAGCATCATTTTCAGTTTTAATGAGTCAAACGGAAATACAACCGAATCATGATTGAAATGGGCTGTAAAAAATGTATCTGCTCACAAAACAATAATGGGCCGATTGTAACACATTTGTAGCTCTTCATTAATAGGTTTAGAAATACGCAATTTTAATATGGGAAACAACACAAAGAACATACAATTGAAATTCTACTCTGCCCTGAATGCACTAGACTTAATGCTAATAAGTGCCAGGAAATATGCAAAAAAATTCATAGTGTAAGAGAAGTAAGAAAGGTCAGTCTGTAATGTGAAGGTCAGTTTTGTGCATAAAAAGCAGCAGTAGCTTCCTGTTCTGTAAGGCACAGGCCTTTGCACCCCTGGGCCATGCTCTGTTTTTATTAGGCTACCAGCAGATGTTTGAAATACAGTAAAAACAGAGCATGTTAACAAATATACTAGTAATACTGGTACCACAGATAAGAACTACAATTTGGGAATTTTAGTAGTATCAATGAGATTTAATTCTCTTTCCGTTTACAGCTACAGTTATTTATGCTACACAGAATTAGTGTAAACTGGTCACATTCTTCTTTACTCATCTTGTTAATACACGTCATGTGACCCCATTAGGAAGTTCCTGTCTGACTTTTTGCTGATGTAAGATAAATACTGATGAACTCATGCATGTGGTCTGCAGTGTTGCGTAGTAACTGACTACATGTGATCGAGATTCTGTGGTCAGATTACAAAAACTAAGTAACTATATTCAGCCCAGATATCCTCTGTGGTCTATAGATCTTGACGGGGGAATGGGGTAAATCTTATGTTATTCCATTGCGCAGCTGATTTGAGTTTAGAGCAACCACACACGGACACACAGGTGAAAAATGGATAAATAACTACAGAAGACATTGAGTCAAAACCTCCCCTGAATGAGACTAATGGTCTAGCTCACCTACCATTGCTACTTTGATTGTTAGTGCCCCCCAGTGGAGTCACTTTAGCCTTCCACTTGTCTACTATGTGCTGCTAACTAAGCATATTATAAATGATAAAAGAAATGTGAATTAGATTTTATTTCAAGGAATAATGAATAATAGTAAACACATATACAGATTATTATTATTATTAGTATTATTATTATTAGTAGTAGTAGTAGTATTAGTATTATTATTTAAGTAAAATTGGTTCTCAGAGGTTTTATATAGCGGAACCTTCTGTCTGCTCCGAGAAACAGGAAGCGCCCTAAATTTGTGTCGCACGGACTGGAAGTGGTCTTTTGGAGTCACATTGAAGACCAACATCCCGGTCACTGCTGTAAAAGGTAACTTAACACTGCTCGTGAAATAAATGAATGAATGAATTGCAGTGGAGCTGTCGGACAGTTGATGGCAGAAACATTATTTTTAGTGGCAGAATCGCGACCTTCATCTCAGGTGGAGCTACAATGCCAGATAGCATTAGCGTCATCTATGCGTGGACACCGGTGACTGAAGAAAATAACTCAAATATTGGTCATATTGTGTTAATATTCATTATTATTATTGTTTAAAGTCAGCAGCTTTAGTTGGTTAGTTAGCTTCAATCCACATTACATATATTGGTATCACTGCAGCTGACAGTTAGTGTCATTATTGTGCTTTTGTATCGAAAATGTGCTTTCCATTGCTCGTTTCATCACCAAAAATCCTCGCATTTGAGAAGCTGGATGCAGATTATACTACATGTTGTTGTATATTAACCTAGACTGATCTATTAATCAGGAAATAGTTGAATTACTAGTTTGGAAACTCTACAGAACAGCTATGACTGACACACTGTACTTTGCTCATGCCCACAGGACAAGTGAGCAGTCAGCTCATTCCTGATCAATTTATGTGGATGATCACTCACAATGTTTACTTCAAAGGTTGTCCCTCGTCTCAGTCTATTACGTAGAGCATCTTGTAAGTATGAACCAATATGTCTACCAATCTGCATGTAGCTATGTAATCTCATCCTAAACTGTATTTCCTGTGTAAGTATTGACATCATTTCTTTTTACTTAATGATTAGGTGCACTTCAAGCCCAAAGAGAAATTTTGAATGGACGTGTACAACCGGTTCTTCCTGCTTACTGCTCTTCACTAAACCAGAAACTGAGAAACTATTCAACAGCGGCAGACAACGCATCTCCTCCTCGATGGGTCCAACTTGAGCCAGAACTGGATGAGGCTCTCGTGCCGCGTAAATTGTCAGTGAGTCCTCTGGAGAGCTGGCTCTCCCTGCGCTACTCCCTCCCTCCCCTGATCGAGTGCGCTCTGCCGCAGGAGGACGTAGGGCTGCTGGAAGAGAAGGTGCTGCCACCCGTCTCTGTCCCCGTTATGGAGGATGGGGAGGGTTCAGTAACACCCCTCATATGTAAGAATGTTCTGAAGATCCGACGGCGGATGATAAACCGGCATAAATACAGGAAGCTGCAAAAACGGACTAAATTCTTAAAGAGGAGAGTGCTGGAGGGAAGGGGGAAAAAGAAGCAGGTGAGAGCTTCCTCTTTAAAAAAGGATTCTGAAGACAGATTATTTCTTACTGTTCTGAAACATTTTTCCTTTTGGTTTCTACAAAGTAATACAAGTTTGATGCTTTTATAATTTCATAAGAAAATAATGAAGAATTTAACTATATAAGTGGCAGCAACGTCTTGACTATACTAATAAATAATTTTTCTAAACCAGCTGAATATGAATTTACTTTACACATTGAGTTTGCCCTTTTGCAGAGGCGATTCGAAGAGGATCTGAAAAGGATTTGGAGACGAGCTGGACTGAAGAAATCTCCAGAGGGATGGACTACACCTAAGATCTTCATTAAGCAACATGGAAACAAAAGCAAATGAGAAACACTGACGTTGACTTTGAGTTTGTGTCACTTCCCTCACACTGGACGGCTCTGCGCATCAGCCCACTTTCTGTGTTTTGCAGCTTTATTGAAACGTGTTTCAGTAATGAGGACATATTCCTTATGTGTACATTTATTTTTAACCAAGTGTACATAATCTAATAAAGATCTTTCTCTGTCAAGCCCAAGGCATAGTGTGCTGTTACTTTCTGTTAGCCTTATTTTAGGCTGACAGTAGAATTATAGGAGAGCTATAGCTTACATTTATCCTGTTCTTACTGTGGATGGCAGTATTGTGCAAAGACAAAAGATGCTTTCACCCAGGAATTTAAGTTTTTTAGTTTACCTTATTGTCTTCATAGCACAACTATAACAGAAATAAGAGCACCGAATTCTGAGTTGACTGTGTGACTATTTTAAAATATAATTAGCTTATACAACAAAATTTCTTTAACATTTTTTCCCCCTATGCAAGATGACAACCACTCCACCTTGGTAAGGTGCTGGAAGCTCAATGTGTCCAAACTAGTGAAGATTTCTGCACATTTTGATCCATGCAGTATGTCACTTTATTTAGCAAGCTTCCACTCTATCTCACCAGATAGACTGAAAGAAAGCTTTTATCTGGGGAAATCTTCACCTACAGTAAGGATTTCTTTTTTCTTCTAAGATCAAAAAGAGGAAAATGAGGAAGGGCCTTCTATTATCCCTTCCTTATGTTAAAGTTTTCCAAGAACTACATTTACTTTAACCATATAAACTACTGAAATCTTAAGATAACTGAAAATCATTTCTTTCTCAATAAGGACTGAATATATAAGACCTGTTTAACCCTCTGCATTTAGAAGCATAGCCAATGTAAACAGATGTATAACATAATCGCAAGACTTTCTCTGGTTTTGTTATTGTGTCAGTGTATTATAAGATTTCTTAATTTCAGACTGATACCAAGTTCCCTCTGTTTTAAATATCGGGCCTGTTTACATTTAGAAGTGAATTTTTCATATTTGTGTAGGAAGTTTCAGTTTTAGAAAAGCTTTCAACGTCTTATTAGACTTTTACTACACATGTTTTCGTGAAGACTGCAGCAGAGAGGTAGAGCAGTGTTGGGTTTCATCGGCTGGCGGAGGCGGAGCGTGTGGAGGCTCCAGCCTGCAGGAATACAACAAAATCCAGCTGAGCCGCCGCTGCTCGCTCAACTTGAAGCCTTCTTTTGTTTTATCAATTGATGCGCACTCGACCTCTGCCAGGCTTCTTTACCTCGGCTGCCAGCACTGTGAAAAAGGATGCACCTCGATATGACTCTCCTTCAGAGTAAGTTATTCAATTGTCTTGCTTTTAAAAAGAGAAAAATAACTTGAGGAAACTTTTTTTTGTTGTTGCCATAATTGGATCCAGGTTAGAATTCTGGAACAAAAGCCGAAAGCGTCTCAGGTCTGCTCTGTTGCGCTGTAGATATCCTTTAAAATACATTTTTAATATGCTTTATAAAGAAATGTCTTTGCCATAAGATTGACATAACAACCTGCATTATTAATGTTTTTAACTGGTGTTAGCTGCTGCAAAAAAGCAACTTTAAAACGACTTAACATGAAATATAATTGATGTAGGCTATTTATTTGTTGTTAACACAGAAACAGTCCGCATAATGATTATAAACTAGTTTTAGATGCGGGACGTCTAGAATTTAACTAAAGTTGTCCATTGTCAGCGTTGTGTATTTATTTATTTATATACACTACTTTATTGTTAACCAAACAGCCTCCGTATTATTTTTTTTGTCCCCTACTTTATTATTTTTTAGTAAAAACACAACTTTATGTGTTATCCATCTATTCTCATCTCATCTTAAATTATATGTCCTGTGATGTTGCTCAAGATGACACATTTTTTTCCACTTTTATTTTCAAAACATGAGTTTTGAAAGTAAAAAAAAAAAAGAAAGAAAAGGAAGGGGCCATTACAGTAAGCCTAATAACCTGGGCCTGTTGATATTGTGTGTAGGTGGTTTCTTTTATGGCTTCAGCCCAATGTGTTTCTAGTTAACTGTGGTCTGAGTCGAGGAGTCAGCACAATCCAGCAGCCAGTCATTATATGTGTCAGTAATGAGTTCACCACGAGTGGGCTGCTTTGAGTCGTGGAGGAGGGGGATTATCACCCCGACCATGTTTATCATTGCTTCGCTCCTAATTAACGGTCACCAGCAACAGGGGCATGGAAAGATCAGAACTGTTGTTTTGAACAAAATAAGCTTATAAACATGTAGCTACTCATTTAAGGCAGAAAATGACATGGTCGCAATAAGGTAACATTTGTGTTCTGTACAGGAAGGGTATGCAATCCACTTTGTACCACAGAAAGGGGTTTTTATAGAAAAAAAGTGCCCACACACTGAGGGGATGTTCCCAGTATATTTATATGAAGCTGTGTTTACAGCTATGACATTTGGGTATGATCAGATATACACAAAACATGACCAAGAGGGCAGAGTACATACACAGATTAAGCCCTATCATTAGTTAAATGAAGATACATTTATACATTTACAAATTGGTAAAGTTATCCATAAACAATACATATAAATCTATGGGAAGCAGTACATTTACACAATTAACTCACAAGGCAATAGTATATTATGATATAGTATATCATTTTGTTTAAGTACATATTTATATAAATTTATATGAATAAAAAATTCTGATGTACACCCGAGTGTATCCACAGGACAGTCAATAGGCTCTCCAGACCTCTGAGTGTATGTTTACTGCAGCTGGACAGATTTGTTTGATTTATTCTCATCCTGTGACGGGGCTGTGAGTAAACTCTACACACCCTACAATATAATGAATCACAGAAATTATGCTGAGTAAATACATGCTTTATGTCTGAGTTGAACATATAAAGCCTTTTTTTTTGTTTTGTTTTACCTTAGTGATGGCTTTCTGTTAAGTGATTCTCCATGCGATTCCTGGGGTTACAAATGACAACAGTGATTTGGCAGGTCATTTGGTAAATGCCTGTGATTAAAGCTAGTAACTCAATAGCACATTGTTAAGTCTTTAGTGTTAAACCAGCCTTATGAGTCATCAGCCTGTGTGTGTCTGGAGGAGAGATGAGAGAAAATTACAGGGGCTGGGACACTTTACTTTACCTTCTGCAGGAAAGTTTATACCCTTCAATAGAAAACCCACCAAAGTTTTCCAGCATGAGGTCTTCCCTGCGATGCCAGCGTATGCGCTGAAATCATTTTTCTCAGATTGAAGTATCATTATATAGTGGTGCATACTTTTTAAAACTTTTCTAAATTACTGCATGCTCTGCTGGGTTCAAATCTCTGCATAAAAGCACAGTAGCAACACTCCGGTGAAGTATTGTTTGTTTGTGGTGAAATTAACATACTCTTCACGTGCCTGTTGCCTGTGCTCACATATGAAATGAATCAGCTCTGTGCAGCCATGATGAGCAAGTCATATGAATGGAGAAGACCCTTTCTGGTGTTGCAACCTGTATCAAACAGATTTTGTGCAGCTTGTTTTTTGGTGTTAGGCCATCATTGACTGTGATAAAAATGCCCTTGATCAAGCTGTTTGTTATTTTCTGCTTTTAGACAGTGTTGGAGGGAGTATTCAGATCTTTAACTTAGGTAAAAGTACTCCATTAAAAGTCATTGAAAATGTCACTTAGCAAAATGTACTCAAACTGTCAAAAGTATTCATAATTCCGAAAAATGTTACCTGTAATATCAAAGAGGCATTTATGTGTCAAGTTGAGTAAATGTACTTCATTACATTACACAGCTGCTTTTAGAATATCATCAGCAGTTTTCATGGATTACTTGCTAACTTTCTAACTTCATTGAAAAGTTTCAGTAATTTCCAGCTTTGAAACTTCAAGACTTAACTTTCCTTGAATCTATCGACCGACTACAGACTCTACAGAACTCAGCAGCTGGGTTTTTAACCAGAACCAATAGCTATGACCACATCATCATTGATCTTATTGATTACTTTTAAGGCACTTCATGGCCTCACTTTTTGCTTTATTTTGCCCTCTCAGTGCCGTACAAGCCTGTGGGTAGATTGAGTTCCTTGAGGTTTTTTAACTGTTCCAGAGGCCCGACATAAAACTTGAGGGGACAGAGAGTTTACAGTCAGGACCTCATGCTAGAGAACGAGCTGCCCGAGGAAGCCTGTAACACCTTTTAAATCTTTTCTTTTCAAAACATATTTATCGGAGAGCTTATCCTAAGTTTTTATTTTACTTGAATACATTGCTGGAATTGGATGTTTGATATTTATCATAAATTATAAGGATTTTATCATTTGTATTTGATTATATTTATTTTAATTTGCTTCCATGTGTTAAGCATTTTATGACCTGTTTTTTTTAAGTGCTAATGCATCATGGAATTTTCAAATCTGTATTATCTGTGCATCAACAATAATCCACTCTTTATTCATATATTTCTTTATGTACTGACTATATCCACACACAACACCCAGGTGAAAGCTCTGCACTCTGTAGTTCACAGTACCCATTACTAGTACACTAAAAATACACAGGTGTTTGGTTTTGACACCAGGGAGTGTGACTGAAGTGAGCTGAATAGCAGTCCGATTCTTCATCCCCTCAGGATCATGGCCTTGCAACAAGCCAGCAGCAGTCAGGATGAATAGAGGCTCTGTATGCTTTGGCTGCATGTGTGTCCGCTGGCCTTTCAGTAAACACACGACGAAATAGCACTGTGGGAAAAATGCATTAGAAATAGCAAATGCACTGTAGGAAAATCTCCACTCTCTAGAGTGAGAAAACACAAACACTTATATATATATATCCAGAGAGTATTGTTCACATCTTTTTCCTGCTGTTGTATTCTTGTGTGGGACTTTTCTGTTCTTTTGTCTTTTATCTTGTCCTTGTTTCTTCAGTTTTCCTTTGTTATTTCAAACAGTCCTCTCACTGAACCCACATCTGCTCCAGCACTGAAATCTTTCACTGTTGGGTCAGTCCAGGTCAAACCTAAACTCTCGAGCCACTTTAACATTTTGCTTTGAGTTTTATTATAAATATTTCTCAAGACTTAATTGTTAAACAAGCCAATATCTGTAATACAGCAGCAAGTATGAATTAAGTGCTTCAGGATACCGGTCTAATAATTTTTTTTTTTTTTTTTTCAGTTCTTGCTGTGCTCCTCCTGCCAGGAGGTAAGACATTTATGTTTCTCTATGCACTACATTAATGAAGGCTCAATGTATAGTAGCACATATGTGATTCTTCTCTTTCGGTCATTACTGCATTAACTGTAATGTGTTTATTTCTTTGTGTCAGCATGCGGTCAGAGCAGCAGCAGCAGCAGGCATAATGTGGTGGTGGAAGCCAAGAACATCACCCTCCCTGCAGGGTCTAAGGCTGTGCTTCCCTGCCACAGCCCCCGCATGGTGTGGACCAGGGACAGACTGAAGGACCGTCAAAGGGTGGTGCACTGGGACTTGGTCCGCAGCAGCCCAGAGTATTCTGTGGAGCGAGTCCTGGACATGTCCCCTGGAGCCCGCCAGAGGGTCTACAATGGCTTCAACAAAGGACGCATTTCCATCCCAGAATCTGCATTCAATGATGGCAACTTCTCCCTTGTCATCAACAGTGAGACCTCTCTGTATTTTCCTGTCACATGTGAATATTGCAATCTTCCATTTATGATTTCATCTAACGCTTTTTTGGATGTTTATTTTTTCAGATGTGGTCGCAACTGACAAAGGAGTTTATACTTGTAATCTGCACCATCACTACTGCCAGATTCACCAGTCCATTCAAATCCAGCTTAATGTCACCAAGTCAGGTAAGGCCTCCTAATCAAACAGCCTAATGTTGTTCCATGAGTCATGAAACAGAATAAATAGTAAAGTATTTCACACTTGTATGTTTCCAGCTCGGAAAGAGAAACGTTCCTGGGATGGAGAGAAGACTGTGTTCGTGGTCTTGTTGGGCAGCTCAGTGGCATTGCCCTGTGTGAACCGGCGTCCCCTGTGGAGAGAGGGCCTCCAGGAGGACCAGCAGCAAGTGGCTCACTGGGACTTCCAGGCCCCTGGGGTGCGTCCTGATAGGGCTGACCGCTTGGTGGACCTCTATGCCTCCGGAGAACGCCGGGATTATGGGCCACTCTTTGCCCAAAGCAAGATGAGTGTGGCTGAGGATGCTTTTACTTTAGGGGACTTTTCCCTGTCCATTTCTGACTTGAGGCCTGTTGATAAAGGCCTGTACTCCTGCCACCTTCATCACCACTACTGTGGTCTGCAAGAAAGACGCATCTTCAGGCTCACTGTGGGACCTCCACTTCCGTCCGCACCCACTACAGCGCCCAGAATTTTCCAGAATGATGTGCCAGAGCCAAGTAAGCCACTCAGAATTGAAAACATATAAAATATCACTAGAACTTTGTTTTTCCAGACGTTACTAATGCTAAATGTTTTTCCCCATATGGTTTCTCAGCTAAATTGTGCATAGAGTGACAACACAGCCTGGGTTTTTTGTTATATTTATAGGCATAGTTGGTCGGTTAAATCAGTTCCTCTTCTTGCCAATTTTCTCCTCAGACCTCTCTGTTTTTGTGTTTGAGCTGAAGAGGGAGGGAGGACGTAGAAAGAATGTTTAAGCCAGTTGAGTAAGACAGAACGAGGGATAAAAAGAAAGTCTGCAAATTCAGCATTGTAAATTGATAAATGTTTTTTAAACTATGTGCATCTCTGGCTTGGGAAGCTGACTACAGTAAACAGCTATAAATTGGCTGCAACGGAAGTGGCCTCATTTTTACTCACCAACTTTCTTTCATTTACAGATTTTTTTGTCTACAGCTGGAGACATTTTAACTGCGCTGAGCAGAGGAGTAGGCTCCAACAGCCAGTAATTTTGGGAGTGGAGGGTCATATCTCGTGTTTTTTCCTCCATTTGATCCCATTTTCCAAAATTCCCAACCGTGTGTCTAGGCTAGTTACACTGCATCTCGGGTTTTGTTTATTCTTCTTTTCTCCCAGTCTGCTCTATTTCTCTGCTGATTTGTATCAGCCTCTGGTAGAGGCGTGTTTACCAGAAAGTAAAGGAAGTCTGATACATCTGTTCAACATCTGGGCCAGCTGTGACATGAAAGAGCAAAGTAAGGGAAGGGGATGAAGGTATGTGTTAGACTATAGATCATCCCCTTTAAAAAAAATGCACATTTATTAGCTCCATAAGTATGTTGTAAAGAAATGCACACGTGGACAGATGGCACTTGCCTGCGTCTTTTGAGTAAACCTCATGTAGGATTTCGTCTTCATGCACTGCTGATCTTAAAGTCTGTTAGATTAAACCCAGTTGTTTGTGCTCACACAGGCGCCAGCAATCATCTGAAATTACACGTCATGAGAGCTTTTCACTTTAATGCTGTGATTATTTACGGCAAGAATGAAAAGAACGTTATTTCTTCGTAACCATGATGTAGGCGTTTTGTGAGCTGTCAGCAATTCAACAGAAATCTTTATCTTTCACAATAAAGATGCTTTCCTTCAGTTCATTGACTTGCAAATGATGCAAATCCCACAGGAACAAAAACACAGGGTAACCTCTGTGCGACATATGTGAAAGAGCTGTCAACACATACACACTTGTCAGATCTTGTCAGAAAATGGAAATGGGATACTGCTGGGACATGGCTGCAGCTCTGGTTTTGACAGTCAAGCTCTGGAGACAATGACCTTGGACATGTCTTTGCAGTTTCATGCACATTAGGCACATTAACCAATGACAGGTGATAATTGCCAACCAAGCCCCCACTTCGGAGGTGCGTGATTAAGTCAGAATATTTTTATTTATTTTTTTTTATTAAGGATTGCTGGTTTTAAAAGCATGATCAGAGATGGTAGATCGCATGTTTTCCTTGTTAGTGAGTCCATCAGTGGTGCGTAGATTTACTGGTGTCCAACTTAAAGACGATAGAGTAAGACTGTATTTAAGAGGTATATTAAAAAGATTTTATGCATTTCATAATCAGTTTTTTTTGTGATCTGGTTTCTGTAATCAGGCTGCATTTGAATCAAAGGGGAAATTTAAAGACTGTAATAACAACACAGATTTCTTTACCCTTCAACAGCATTGTAAACATGCATTGAATGATTATTCTGCCAAAGTATCTGCGGTACACTACACTGTACTGTATCATACTGTTTATAATAGACATAAAACAGTATGTAGTTAATGATCTTGCACCTCCAAGTCCAATATGTATTTTCTGTGCTTGTCATTTTTAATAATTATTGTCAACTATCAACAAAGTGTACACAAACAGTCTGGGTCACTGAGACTGGGAGTTGCCTGCAGTGTTGTCAGATGTATTTAGACTGGCCTGTCAGACGGAAGAGTTCACTGATGAACTCTGCTGAAGGTGTCACAGATTTGTTTTCCATGCATGCAGAAACTAGACTTCTGTTTGTGAGAAGACGTGAAAAGGCCAAAATGGAAAACTAATACAGACATGCAGACAGACCACATAACAGAATTCGTCTCTCTTTCCTCACACTTCTCCTCCTCTTTTCTGGTCAGCCTGTGTTTTTCTGGAGAGAAAAAAAAACAGCTGCATGACATCAGGTCTGGAAGTCATTACCACCAAACAGCATTTAGACATTTAACTCCTGCTCTCCCTTCTTCGGTCTCTGGGGGAATGAAAAACTTTAAATGCATTTCAACTTGATCCTTGTTTATTGCCATTACGTTAATACAATGTAACAATCCAATATATCACAGTTAGAATATGATAATAAATCCTCAACAACACATCCCATTGTTGTTGTTTTTTGAAAGCACATTGACTTTTCTTGATATTTAAGTAGGATGTTTCTCCTATAGTATATGTCTGAGAATGCAGTAGGTTATTATAGGAAACGATTGATTTTGTCTGTGTTTTGCCTTTAGGGACTGAAGAAGTGGAGGGCCCACGTGTGGTGAATGTCATCCTCCCTGAGCATCGAGGTTATTTCGTGCAGCATCTGGGCTACTTTCTGGCAACTTTCATACTGCTGGCATTCATCGTTGTGGCTGTCATTGTGCTGACTCGACGGCGCAAAAAGAGAGGTATTGTGTTTAACCTTCCCCTTATGCTTGGCTTATATCTGACAACAAGCTTGTATTTTATGATAAGCCTATTTATACACTCCATAAGGCTCACACCATATGGATACAGTGTGTTTAAGATTGTGTATTTTATCTGTTTTTCAGGGCTGGAGTATGAGCTGCGTAGATCTGATTGGTAAGACCTTACTATACAATAAATTATAGATCATGTTTTCATTAATTTAAAATAAATCCAATTCTGAGCAGACCGGTACTTATTTCTGTGCAGGGGAACTGTAATCAGTGGAGGTGAAATGACATTAGACTGCACAGAGCTGAAGGCCTGTAACCAAGAACCTCTGAATTCAGGTTCAGTAATCTTTATCCACATACAGGCAATAAACTTACATTGACTACCTTAACAAAAAATTTAAAATTTACTGGTTTCTCATAACCTTTGCATCTATTACAATCCACAGACTACAAAAACAACCTACTGAAAGAGAGAGATATGGCCAAAGACTGCAATATGGGTGAGCAGCCATTGTGCAGATTTGTATTTCAGTAAAAAGAAAAAAACCTGACACATGATGACACATGAAACATGATTTTATTGGCACGTTTTCCCTCATTTAGACTTTGATGGAAAGCTGTGGAAGTGAGTGCGATATTTTTGAGATGCTGCTGGCAGGTCCAGGGCAAACACCGGAAGAGTAAAGGACCGTGGAAAGAAGTGGAAAAAAGAGGAAACCCAGGAGAAGACAGGAGGAATGCTCCCTCTGCTGTAACTCTAACACACTAAGCTTTTTCACTAAAAGCCGACATAATTTTTTACGTTATTTTTTTATATAACTTGCATTTTCACCAGCTGTAATAACAATATGGTTAAACATATATTTGATCCTTACTCAAGCATTCATTGTTTGGTTTATGTGGAATATTAGGCTTTTTTCTTTTTTTTTTTTTTACAAAAATGCATGCTGTTTATTAAAGTATGTATTATGTGTACTTTGCATGCAGAGCTGCAAGCTCACAGTTCTTTTCTGATCTTGAAATTTGATAATTTTGTCTTTTTTTGCACAATTTCTGCTGTACCGTAATTTGTAAAAGTGTTCATTAAGGTTTCAATGGTAAATTTACTGTATGTAGACATTTTCAGACCATGTTTAGAAACAAGAGCTACAAATAGCTATAGATAGTAAGACATTTTAAACAAATCATAGTACATTTTTAAAAAACTCAACTGTGGTGACATAATGACTGAATCTAAACTTTTTTCTCTATTTTTAGAAATGCCGACTGTCAGACTTAAAATCCAAATTATGTTTGTAATCAAAAGGATATAAAGCTTCTGAAATATGTATTCATTGATAACTTATCAGGTGAAAAATAATGACATTTTCGGACCATGGACTAAAGGCTCAGTCTGCAGAATCTCAGGAAAAAAAAATTCTTTCAGCCATTTATTTGGTTTTTAGTGGGCTGTGCAGTACTTGTTTGCATCAAGCATGTACAATGTACCCTGGTTTAGAAAACACTGAATTTTCATTACTAAATCTGCTGGTCAATGATATGTTAGAAAACTGTGTAGCTGTAGCTCACATTGTGTCTACTATCTCAGTAATGCTAAATCCCAAACTGTAATCCTAACCCCTGTTCTCTCTTTGTCTCTTGCTCACTTGTGCACACTCTAATGTTGGTCTCTTCTAAGAAATAATTTCTTCTATTAAAGATTCACAACCGTGGCCACAGACTCATCAGTCACTATTTGTTCTAGTTGGTAGAGGGCTATTATTCACAGACATCAACCCACATATTTAGCGTTTGGATGAATAAATTATTATATGATGTTCATAGTAGCCTCTGAAGTATTAAGGATTAAGAGTATGAGAGAAGGAACATTTGAGGTAAGTAATTAATAGTTATGTTAATTAGTAGTGAGACTGAGTCACTGTAGACTCTTGTTTAACAGACATTGTGTTAATGTGACAATATTCCAGCTGTGCAGTACAAGGCACACCTATTTACCTATTTTCACTCCTGGGGTTCACGCCCGTTACAATCATATGATTAACCTCTAATAATCATTACTGTCACCTGCAATTATTATTAGACATATCTAATATTTAATGAGCCCATTAACTGGAGAGGAAAGACAATTATTAGTGCCGTTAAAGTGCTGCGTTTTCTCCAAATCTCTCACAGTGCTGTTACTGTATTTTTATATAAATATTTTGGGTTGTTTATTTATAGGATTCTTCTCTGGGCTATCTCGACATTTTATGAGTTATCCAAAAAATAGGTCGAATATTCTATTTTCATCAGAATACATATATAGCCTATATACATATATTTATATTTGGATTGAATTTATATTGGGCTGCAACCGCTTGACACAATAATATCCCACTGCAATATCAGAGATAGTAGTAATAAAAAAAGAAAGAGAGCAGCATACAGGCTTCATAAAGCCAGTCCACTTCCTCTTTGTTCCATGTTTTGCCTGTACAGTAGGCCGTACAGTAGGAGTGCGTTGTATAAGACGGCCATATGGGCCTGCGCACAGCCCAGACACGCCACTAGATGACAGCACTGTCTAACCAATTAGCCTAGCTTGTAAAAAAAAAAAAAAAAGCAATATTCCCAACACCATATCGCAAGGATGTGGACTGTCCCTTCCTGTTTTAGTGCCGAGAGAGCCACCGTACCGACTCACAGCGGAGCAGGAATACAGGCACTCATAACGCGATTATGTCTGGATTGTCGCTGTGTTGGTCAAACACACGGAGCTGTATTTTCCATCGTGGGTTATGCTGGTTTATATATTAGGGAATGCTGTTATGTTATTCTACGGGTTGCTGGTAACATAGCAGGCCTGTTTATTGCGCTGCCAACCCTTGTTCCTTTCCTGTGTCAATGATTGTCCTCCCCTCACTCTCATGGCGGAGACTAAAATAATATATCACATAGACGAGGAGGAGACTCCTTATCTGGTCAAACTGTCCGTTTCTCCAGAGAAAGTCACCCTAGCGGATTTTAAAAATGTCCTCAACAATCGACCGGTCAATAGCTACAAATTCTTCTTCAAATCGATGGACCAGGATTTTGGGTGAGTGGCCACCGTCTGTGATTATTATTAGCCCGTTCGTCTGGCTCACTTGCTGTTTATTATCGCTTTGTAGTATGTATACAAAAGCTTATTACTAGGCCGTGATAGGCAACATCAGGCGATGCTGGCTGCAACATTGTTACATGTGTGCAAACTATAGTGCCATGTCTGTTTCCGTGCTCCTGGCACCTGCTCATTATTACAGGCTATCCTGTGCGCAGTGGAGGAGACACATGAGTGTTTGAAGTGATACCAGATCTGTCCAGAGCCCTAATGACGCAGCCCTGCATGTATTACACAGAGCCAGACCCCTGCTCCCCCCCTTATTAGTGTCAATATATTAACCCACATTAGTGTCAGTGTATTATCCGTGTGGAATATAAACGCGAGAGCCATGTTGACGAGGCGTCCACATGTTCCAAGTCCTCAGGTTTTATATTGTTTTGGTTTTGGTTGTGCCAGATTGTTTGTGGTTATGTGTTTGTCAGGATCATTTCACAAAAGGTTATCATTTTGTGTTTTCTTAATTTATACCTTATTGTAGCCCATGAAGTTCTTACACAGACACACACACACACACAATGGATGGCAGGTGAATCCCAATGGAGTGTGACAAGCACAAGCCAGGGTTGTGACTATTAGCTATGCAATCACCTTTTTTATTTAATTGCCCCAGAGGAGGAGATCTCAAACCTCCATCCTCATAACCTTGTTTTTCTAATGATCTTTCTATTATCCCGTGTTATTACAGTAATGCCTGTTTGTTTTCCTGATTATTACATGTAGGTTAAATAATGTGGAAACAGAGAATGGGCAGTTATTTGCCGTCTCATCGCACAGTCCACTGATTATTTGGTCAGGTATATGGACATATAATATACAGTATTGTCAAGATTAAAATAATGATTCAACCTACAGTCATATATATTTTAACCCATCATGTTATAGCATTTGTTATGGAAAAAAAATTGATTTTCAGATTTTTACTGTCACTCCTTTTTTTAATTTTCATGTTGAATTTTACCACAGAAAGTCACAGGAACTACCTCCTATATCCACTGGATTCTGGACTTTATAAATAATAGAAATATTTCCTCCCTTTTTCTCTCTCTCTTCCTCTCTTGTAATCCCATCCTGATTTTCAGGAGTTTGCACCAGGTCTACAAAGCTCTTCAGCTCTCGGTCAGCAAGATCTACTTGTATCAGGTCCCTGCTGAGGATGACATATTTGTGTCAGTGCCTGTTTCTCATTCCAGTCTGAACAGTCATACATGGGCCCACACACATCAATATCTAGCACTGTAATCAGAAAACATGATTGGAGGAAATGCAGAGGCAGGCAGTGTGTATAGAGCAGAACGTCATACATTTCCACCGCAGCCTGACCTTGTGAGGGAAACTGGCTCTTCCTGGTGGCAGGCTAGGCTTGGTGCGCCGCTTTGTCCCCAGCCCCGGCTTCCTGCCTCTGTTGCACTGCAGGCCGGGCTGCTCACTGGGCCTCAGGTGATCGACAAGCAGATTATGGAAACAAACAAAAGCATGTTTGCTTTCGCCACATGGAGACGTGGCTCCGTGTTGCTGAACACACCGCTACAGTAGGCCAACCGGCTCTTGAATGTGCATCAACAAAGCTTGTTAGATTATGTTGTGAACTGGACATTGTTAAATGACTATGTTTTCACATAGAGCTGTTACACACAGATTATAAACGCGTCTCCATCAGCATCTCTGCCTTTGAGTTAAGGTTGAGTATTCAGTCTCTGTGAGTGCCGTATGGTACTGGCACAGTATGGAAGCAAAGCCAGTCAAAGGCACAGAGGATAGCAGCGCTTTGTGGTAGCCATGCTGGCTGTACTGCAAACACAGAGACAGTATGGCTGCTGGAGAATTAGCTAGGGAGGAATAAGACTGCTGAGCAGAGAGGGAAAACATCAAATCCCTTGCAGTTATAGACAGTGTTTGAAATGTAAATGAGCAGTCAGTGCAAGGTCCTCTGTAGTAGACCTCCTGCTGTGCAGGAAAAACCAGCCATTTTCTTAAGGGATTGCTGAACTACATTTGTGCTGGCTAAATCAGCCCTTTAAGCAATGGCCACACAAATTTGATAAATGGTTTGTCCCCACAACGCCTCAGCTTACCGCAGTGAACAAGTCATGTCAGTTTTCTTTGGAATCGTGTGGAATACACGTAACCATGGGCTGTGGCATTTCACACAACGGAAGACAGCAAATTAAACGATGAATGTGCTCTGTGCACATTTCATACCTCAGTTTTTTCCCCCCATAATATTAATTTATTCATCAATATTCATAAGACAGGAAACTAATTGAGGCTGGGTTGTTTTGAAGCAACCCACTTGGCTTTTTCGGCTTTTTTCAAGGTGATGATATGGCGTTTTGTCATTGCCACTGGTGGTGAGTGGGTTTGAGACCTCACTATAATGCAAGTCACAGAGGCACTCTGGAGCTGAGGAAGCAGCCAAGCTGAAGGTCTGAAAGAAACAGTCTTGTTTGTGCCTTACAAAATAGGGGGGCTGGTAGGGGAATCTTTCTTCTACTGAGGAAGTGATGCTAAGCCCCTGTAGGACAAAAATCTGCAGCTTTTTGCACAAATGCAACCCTTTCCTCACCTCGCTTGTTTTTGCTTTTTGAGGATTGTGAAGTTGAAGGTTATACTGCATTTGTGTGCCGCGGCATTAACAACAATGCTCCCACTGTGATTATACAATATTTGTCAAAATAGTGACATTATGAATGGAAAGGGAAGTAAAACATCTGACCTTTGTTATTGTGTTGCTGTGAAAATCACATGGTTACAGTACTATATGTGACATCACCGTATTCATGCTTTGTAGATGGTTAAAGTTGGTTAAATAATGAATTTATCTGTGTACTGAGTCACACTGTCTCACATTGAAGTTTATCTATTACTAATCTTATTTGACTACAAATATTTTGATGCCCTGTATATAATATCATTAGCATCAGCCCACCAAAGTCCTTAGATTGATGGCCGGGGTTGGCTGGCTTCTCTTGCCCCTGGTTTCTGGTTTAGGCTGTAGCTACCCAGCCCACCTCTGTCTCTCAAAGCATAAACAAACACGTCTAATCTTCCCCAGCTACACAAATATCCCCAGCAGTGGAATATTCAGCCATCACCAGGGTAAATCTTGTGTTATTATCCTGTGAAATCTGTTAAGACCTATTTAAGCTGTCTGCTGTATAAAGTCAGATCTGTGACAGCAGCCCACACCAGACACATGCTTCTCCAAACAGGGCATACGGTTTTTATGTGTGTGTATCCGTGTGTGTGTCTGTGCTTGTTAAGTGTTCAGGGTGGAACTAACACTGCTCCTGATATCAGATGGAAGCTGAAAAGCATGCAGGCCATGGGTATTTTACCGCATGTTAAAGACGTCATCGGTTGATGACTCGAACAGTTTCTTGGTTCTTTTGGTTTCATTTCTTATAACAGACAGAGACGTGTTTAAGGGGTTAATTGTCCATGCCATTTTTTTTGTTTTTTAAACTGTAAAAAAATCCTGTTACATTGGTGAACTGTGTGTGCGTACCATTCGAAAGAAGAAGCATTGCTGATATTGTATTTGTACCGGCCACTCCCACATCCTCACAAGTC